CCTAAAATATCTTCAAACTAATTCAGCCATTTCTCTTATACTTATTGAGTTCCTTCTATGCTCCACACACTGTGCTTGTTATTTGTAGGGAAAGGGTAAACGTCAAAGGAAAGTAAAATTGGCCCAGTCCCTGAACTTCTGGAGCATATACTTTTAATAACAGATGCTAAATTTTGTGCTTGGAAGTATAGGCTATGGAAGAAACATGTAGGAAGGGCCAGGTAAGCAAAGGTCAGATCATGCTTGGTCCTCATAATGCTAAGAGAGAGAGTGACTATTAGAAAAACCAGAGGTTTTTATCAAGACCAGAAGGAGACATCAAGGATGTCATCAACAGTACTAATTTCTATAGTTATGACTTTGCATATTTGTATGTGACAGCATTTTTTTCATGGAAGCTTTAACATGGATTGTTAATGTCATTAATAATTTGAGCATCTCTCTCTTAAAATTAGAAAGCGGTTTCATTTATCCCTGTAATGTGTATACTGTAAAGGAGTGCAAGTTTAACATTTGTAGTATTTTTTTTAAAACTTCTTTGTGATAGATTATATAATCTAAGAAGTTTTTAGATTTTTTATGGGGTTGAATTTAAATCAGGAGTTACTGCTTTTAAAGTACTTTGTCCAAAAGGGTGATTCTTTAATTATTAGGAAGTAAAATTACTTTGGGTTTCCTATTATTTCATTTACATAAATTTACTTTAGTTTCAGTTCATGATTTAAAGACCTATGAACAACAAAGTGTTCTTAATCATCAAACTATAGAAAACAAAAATTTAAAAAACTACATCAGGTATTAGTTTTCCAGAAATAAATGCAAAAAAAACCTTACATCTAGGGCTTGTTCTAATTTATATTAAATAGCAAGCAAAAGCACATGTCATCTCCCCTGTGAAATATTTATTAGTTTTATGATTATTTTTTAAATTTTCTTAGCTTTTACTTCACAACATATAGATTGAGCCTTTTTTAACTTTTTTTTAAGCCTGTATTCTCATATTGTGTGTATTTGTATATGTAATTACTCCTGTTAATAAACACTGTTTGAGGACCTATTGTATTCTAAGTTAATTCAACAAATGAGCATAACTTAATCCCATCCTTCACTGAGTCCCCATTCACCCTAGAATGGGAGATAGTTGTATTGTGTGATAAGATAATAGAGATGGAGGAAGATAAAATAGTAATACTAAGAAGGGAGAGAATGGTTACTTATCATCCCATTGAGTGTTGTGTCAGGGAAACTTTCACAGACTAGATGAAGCTAAGGTAAGATTTAAAGAATAAATGGGCGTTTCTTTGACTAGATAGAGAAGGGTATTTCATCAGAGAGAGCCCCATATGCTAGAGCACAAACAATGAAACAGCATTGCAAGTTCAGAGAACTGCACTTGGTTTCTTGCTGATGAAAAGGACATTAGGTGGAGAGAGTCAGGGCCATGATCTGCAAAGACTTAAGGCTGGCAGAAGAGTTGGCCATGGAGGACTGTTCAAGATTTTCTAGTAGAGTAATGAGGTGGTTAATTCTGCAAGTTGCGAAAGACGAGATTCTGAAGTAGGGAAATCTTTCAGAAGTTATACAGTTATTGAACCAGTAGTGCTGTTGAAGAGAAGAGGGTAGAGTTGGCAGATTATGTGGCGATTTGTATGGAGGGTATAGGAAAAAAATAACTTAAACGTCTCTCTTTGGTTTTGGTTTTTATAATAATGTGTGTGTGGGTGCACACATGTTGGAGAATGATGTAGGAAGGCTTATTATCAAATACTTAATTTTACCCAGTTTTTAAATTTTGAAATAACTTCAGGGGCGCCTGGGTGGCTCAGATGTTAAGCGTCTGCCTTCGGCTTGAGTCATGGTCCCAGGGTCCTGGGATCGAGCCCCATATTGGGCTCCCTGCTCGGTGGGAGGCCTGGCTTCTCCCTCTCCCACTCCCCCTGCTTGTGTTCCCTCTCTCGCTATGTCTGTCTGTCAAATAAATAAATAAAATCTTTAAAAATAAATAAATTTTGAAGTAACTTCAGACATACAGAAAAATTGCAAAAGTAATTCAAAGAATTCTATATACTCTTTAGCCCAAATTCACCAAATGTTGACTTTTTATCACATTTGCTTTTTATAAAGCAATGAATATATATTATTTTTTCTGAGCCATTTGAGAGCAATTGCAGACATTATATCCTTTTGCCCCTAAATACTTCAGGGTGCATTCCCAAAAACCAGGGATATTTTCTTATATAACCACAGTACTGTAATTAAGATCAGGAAATTAACATTGATACAACAGTCTACTGGTTTTATTCAAATTTTGCTGTATTTTATAACATCCTTTTGAGTAAATAAGAAACTTTTTTTTTTCCTGGCATAGGACCACAAGCAGGGGGAGTGGGAGAGGGAGAAGCAGGCTTCCCACCGAGCAGGGAGCCTGCTGTGGGGCTTGATCCCAGGACTCTGGGATCATGACTGAGCTGAAGGCAGATGTTTAACGACTGAGCCACCCAGGTGCCAAGGGAAGTTTTTTTTTTTTTTTTATGTTATGTTAATCACCATACATTACATCATTAGTTTTTGATACAGTGTTCCATGATTCAGTGTTTGCGTATAACACCCAGTGCTCCATTCAATACGTGCCCTCCTTAATACCCATCACCAGGGTAACCCATCTCCCCACCCCCTCCCTTCTAGAACCCTCAGTTTGTTTCTCAGAGTCCATAGTCTCTCATGGTTCGTCTCCCCCTCCGATTTACCCCCCTTCATTCTTCCCCTTCTGCTATCTTCTTCTTCTTTTTTTTTTTTTAAACATATAATGTATTATTTGTTTCAGAGGTACAGGTCTGTGATTCAACAGTCTTACACAATTCACAGCGCTCACCATAGCACATACCCTCCCCAGTGTCTATCACCCAGCCATCCCATCCCTCCCACCCCCCACCACTCCAGCAACCCTCAGTTTGTTTCCTGAGATTAAGAATTCCTCATATCAGTGAGGTCATACAATACATGTCTTTCTCTGATTGACTTATTTTGCTCAGCATAATACCCTCCAGTTCCATCCATGTCGTTGGAAATGGCAAGATTTCATTCCTTTTGATGGCTGCATAATATTCTACTGTGTGTATACATACATATATATATATATATATACACACATACACACCACATCATCTTATTTATTTATTTATTTAAAAAAAATTTTTTTTAAAGATTTTATTTACTTATTTGACAGAGAGAGACACACACAGCGAGAGAGGGAACACAAGCAGGGGGAGCGGCAGGCAGAGGGAGAAGCAGACTCTCCACAGAGCAGGGAGCTTGATGCAGGACTCGATCCGAGGACTCTGGGATCATGACCTGAGCCGAAGGCAGATGCTTAACAACTGAGCCACCCAGGCGCCCCTACCACATCTTTATCCATTCATTTGTTGATGGACATTTTGGCTCTTTCCATAGTTTGGCTATTATGGACGTTGCTGCTATAAACTGTCGGGGTGCATGTACCCTTTCAGATCCCTACATATGTATTTTTGGGGTAAATACCCAGTAGTGCAATTGCTGGATCGGATGGTAGCTCTATTTTGAACTTTTTGAGGAAGCTCCATACTGTTTTCCAGAGTGGCTGTACCAGGCTTGCATTCCCACCAGCAGTGTAGGAGGGTTCCCCTTTCTCCGCATTCCCGCCACCATCTGTCGTTTCCTGACTTGTTAATTTTAGCCATTCTGACTGGTGTGAGGTGGTATCTCATTGGGGTTTTATTTGGATTTCCCTGATGCCGATGATGTTGAGCACTTTTTCATGTGTCTGTTGGCCATTTGGATGTCTTCTTTGGAGAAATGTCTGTTCATGTCTTCTGCCCATTTCTTGATTGGATCCTTTGTTCTTTGGGTGTTGAGTTTAATAAGTTGTTTTTTGATGGATACATATTCTTACTTGTTATGCATCTTCACTGTGTATTATGGCTTTTAACATTAAACAGTTTCTCTGTCACATTTAATGCTTCTTGGCTTGAATTCCTTAGTATCAAGATCGCTCTTCCTGGTTTCTTATTTCTATTTGCTTGATATGCCTTTGTCTATCCTTTTACTTTTTTGTTTTTATTTTTTTTTAAAGATTTTATTTATTTATTCATAAGAGACAGAGAGAGAGAGAGGCAGGCTCCCCGCTGAGCAGGGAGCCCGATGCGGGACTCGATCCCAGGACGCTGGGATCATGACCTGAGCCGAAGGCAGATGCGTAACCATCTGAGCCACCCAGGCACCCTATCCTTTTATTTTTTAGTCTTTCTGATTTGCTTTGTTTTAGGTTATCAGTTATCTCTTGTATAGAGCAATTAGATCATTTTTTTATATGAGCCATATTAAAAATCATTTTCTTTTAATGATGAATATGATCTCAGTTGTCAAATTATTTTATGTTATAAAAACTGTACATTATGTTATGTTTTTCTTTGTTTCTTTATGATGTGCTTTCATTTAAGGAAATTTTTGGATATTTTGGATTTGTTTTTGTTATTGTTACAGCAGCTACTTGTGTATTTTGTTTATTTCCTTGTTTTTTCTACTATTCTTTGTTAGTTTTTAATGGCATGTTTTGATTCTTACTCTTATTTCATCAGTGAGTTTATTTTACTTTTTTTTCTCTTCCATTTTTAGTTGCATTTTATCTACTTTGCCTTCAAACTGTAACTGCAGCTTTGTTTTGCTTTTAGTTTTACAAATAAATATATTAAGTCTTCACCATCAGTTCTTTGCTCAAGTTTCCCAGTCACCCACTGGTTTATATAGCTCAGTTTCTAGTAGATTTCTTAAGAAGAGCTCATGGGCACAGTTTTCCCTAGTTCTTGCATATTTAAAGTTTTTTAGTAGCCTTGATACTAGAAGGACAGCTTGGCCAGAAATAAAATCCTTGGTTCACACTTACGTTTACAATGTGGTCTTGCAGTGTATATTGTTTTTGAGAAGTCTATTGCCAGCCTTAATTTTTTTTTTTTTTTTTTAAGTAGGCTTCACACTCAGTGTGGAGTCCAACTGAGATCAAGACCGGGGCTGAGATCAAGAGTCAGACGCTTAACCAATTGAGCCACCCCAGGGGCTCCTACCAGTCTTAATTTTCTTGTCCTTGTAAGTTATTTCACCTCTTTGCTTGGAATACCTGGTCTCATTTTTCCTTTTATTTTTTTAAGTCTTATTTATGTATATATGTATATATGTATGTATGTATGTATGTATTTATTTATTTATTGAGAGAGCATGCACACTTACAAGAGCATGAATGGGGGGAGGGGCAGAGGGAGAAGAGTAGAGAGAATCCCCAGCAGCTCCACACTTAGCGCAGAATACAGTACGGGGCTCTGTCTCAGGACTTTGAGATTATGACCTGAACCAGCATCAAGTGTTGGACGCTCAACTGATTGAGCTACTCATGTGTCCCTTTCATTTTATTTTTAAAGTCTAATAGTTTTACTGGAATTTATCTTAGAGTTTATTGTAGCAAGTCATTTTTCCCTGCCATCTAGTGGGTCTTTTGTTTCTGAAGTATTTTGGATTATAGTTTTAAATATTAGTTCCATTCCAGTGTTTTGTTTTTCTTCTTTAGGGGCTTCAGTTATGCATAATTATATTTTCTTTGTCTATCTTCCACATCAGAAACTTTCTATTTTTACTTTATTATCTTATTTTCATTCTCTTGTTTCTTTTACTATTTGCTCTAGTGTGTTTTATTAAATTTTTATTTGAATTTATTGTGAAGCACCATATAATTTTGTGTTCAATCCTGATGTGATTTTCTTTTTCTTTTCTTTCTTTTTTTTTTTTTTAAGATTTTATTTCTTTGCGGGGAGAGAGAGAGAGAAAGCAAGTGTGTGTGCATGAGCAGGGGGAGGGGAGGAGTAGAGGGAGAAGCAGACTCCCTGCTGAGTAGGGAGCCTGATGTGGGGCTCCATCTCAGGACCCTGGGATCATGGGCTGAGCCGGAGGTAGACGCTTAACTGACTAAGCCACCCAGGCACCCCTTTCTCTTTTGTTTCTTAACTGAGTTTAGTCATCTCTTTTTTCATATCTTTTTGCTTTTGTCATTTTTTTTTTTTAGGTCTTTAAAAATTTCTGATTCAGAGTTTTTTTCATATTCCAAATGCCCATTTAAAGAGATATAATTCGGTTTGGGATGTTTATTAAAGTTTTCTGCTTTGTTGTTGTTGTTTGGGGGGTACTTTTCATCAGTTTAATTTTTCTGATTACATTTTTTTTTTAAAGATTTTATTTATTTGACAGAGAGAGCAAGAATGAGAGCAGGAACACAAGTAGGGGGAGTGGGAGAGGGAGAAGCAGGCTCCCTCTGAGTAGGGAGCCCGATGCGGGGCTCAATCTTAGGCCCCTGGGATCATGACCTGAGCCCAAGGTAGACGCTAACAACTGAGCCACCCAGGCACCCCGATTTCATTTTTTATAGTAGTTTTGTTTAGATTAAGATTGCTTATGCCTCTGCATTTCTGTGAGCAAGGCTCATGTTTTAGGGGGATCTTATAAAAAGAATGCTAAATCAAGAGTACCCTCTCTGTCACTGTAGCAAAATATAGTTTGTTAGACATCTTTATTTCTTCTTGTAGGGGAAAGGATTGTGTGTCTCTCAGTTTGCCTTAGTGGTAGATTGCTGGGAGGTGTAAGAATCAATCCTAGGAAAGGGCTCTGGAAGGGTGATAGGTGTGGTCCCTTTAATTTTAAGTGTTGAAGCCTGTGTAATGACCTTAAGTTAAAAGGGGGATTTAAAGAAAGAATTCTGGCATATCACCGGACACAGAACTGCAGCTGGGCCCTCCTGAGGTACTGAAACCGTGGTGAGAGGTAAAGCAACTTGTCACAGATAATAAGGGACAGAGTCAGGATTTAACCCCTTGTCAATTTGACTTTAGTCTTAATCATGACACCCGGCTTCCTCTGCTTGTTTTCAGGAGCTTCATAAACAGTATTGAAGTCATTAAAAATGAGAAGTGCTGCTTTGTGCCTCCTACCTAAGTGGTATGCTTTGTACTAGAAGCACTGGTCAGTTTACAAAAGCCCTTTTAAACTTCAGTCACTTTTTAAACAATCGCCATTCTTTCTCATTTTAAAAATTTTGATTTGTTTAGTTGCTGTTGTCACAATCTCATATCTATTTTTTTTTTTTTTAAGATTTTATTTATTTATTTGAGAGAGAGAGAATGAGAGACAGAGAGCATGAGAGGGAGGAGGGTCAGAGGGAGAAGCAGACTCCCTGCCGAGCAGGGAGCCCAATGCGGGACTCGATCCTGGGACTCCAGGATCATGACCTGAGCCGAAGGCAGTCGCTTAACCAACTGAGCCACCCAGGCGCCCACAATCTCATATCTAGAGTATAATATTAGATGATGGCAGAAATTACATTGCCTCAATTATTAGGAATATTTGCTAGTAGAGGGGTGCCTCGGTGGCTCAGTCAGTTAAGCGTCCGACTTTTGGTTTCAGCTCAGGTTGTGGGATTGAGCCCCATATAGGGCTCTGCACTCAGTGTGGAGCCTGTTTGAGATTCTTTCCCTCTGCTCCTCCCCGCTGCTTGCGCTCTCTCTCTTTCTCTCTAAAATAAATAAATGAAATCTTAAAAAAAGAAAGAAAGAAAGAAATATTTGCTAGCAAAAACTTCTTTTTGACTGTCTAGAGGAATCCGAGAGTTTCCTCTATGGTTCTTTCGTGAATTTTACAAATCAGATAATCTGCTCAGTGAGATGTGGGTGCTAGAATCAGTAGCCATCTAAATATTGCAAGAAAGAGCTAGGAGCTGGAAAGTATTTATAGATATCATAAAGTGAGAAAGTGAGTGAGTTGGAGGAGGGGATGATGGTGAATATTATAATAAAAGTGAAGATATAATTCAGAAAATGGAAAAATGTTCATGTTATATTTAGTGATTTTTTTCCAAGTGTTGAAATATAGATAATGAAAACTCACTTAGGATCTAAAGGTAGTAAAGTTAAATAAGTCGGTTATAAAAGCCAGAAGTTAGAATGGGTTGTAGCATAAAGATGGCTTTATAAAAGTGCCTCTCTCCATTCATGATCCTGATGGGCCAGGTCCCAAGATGTTTCAGTAAAGGTTCCTGAACTATGTAATTTAATATTCTGCTCAAAGTAAATGCATGCTCTATTCATAGTGCTTTGTCAAGTTTAAGATTATGTAAGATTGTTTTCTTACTCTTTCTCCTGTTTCCTAATTATTCTGCCCAGTGACTCCTAAATGAGAAAGCCATGGTGGGATCAGGAGAAGGGAGTTAATTCAGCAAATATTGTGCATTGGTCAAATCCAACACATACTTTAGATTTCAGAAATAACCTTTTTGGTTCTTTTGACTATGTAGCTAAAATAAATTGTTATTAAATTTGGAACTGTACTTTTGACTGTTGAAATGTGTTACATGCGAAACCTTTGGACTCTGTTTTAGGGTTAAACAATATGATATTTAATTGATTCTTCACCTAAGAGATCTGCCTGTCTTTGACCAGCCACTGCTCTTCACACATTACAGTGAATGCCTATTGTGGACATACGCTTTTCTTAGTAATTTATTCACTTCAAAAAGAGTATGATATGGTGATGGTGGTAGAGGGAGGGGGAGACTGCTGAGGAAATGACCCCAGTCACAAAGTAAGAAAGACCTGAAGAGACCGGGAACAAAAGTTCTCCAGTGCCAACAAAGCAGCAGAAGCAAGGATTCTGCCTTCCTGCCTGCTTCTTTTATCTTCTGGTTCTGCCTCTGGCAGAATTGGTCTCCTCCTCCTCAGCAGTTTTACATGAGGATCAAATACTCAGATCTTTATCCATAAAAGGTTTTTAGAATATGATGATGAATATCTGAATATTTTAAGATTATGTGTAGTCTATTTTCTGTGTCTTCTTGATTTTGAAATGAAATATTGCTGAATGCAAAAAATTTTTAAAGGATTGTAGCTTCCTCTTTTTATGGTATTGGCATGTTAAATTGAGTCTTTTTAATTTTATTGTAGGCATTTTCAAGCATACAAAAACAGAGAATAGTAAAGTGAACCACTGTTTATGTATCCTCTGCTTTCAACGGTTATCAACACATGGCCAGTTTTGTTCCATGTATGCCCCCCCATTATCGACGTAAATCCCAGACATATTTCATTTGCAGATATTGAAGTATGTTATTAGAAGAGATTCTTTTTTCTTTTTTTTAAAGATTTTATTTATTTATTTATTTTTAATTTTTTTTAGATTTTATTTATCTGAGAGAGACAGAGATAGTGAGAGAGAGCACAAGTGGGGAGGAGAGGGAGAAGCAGGCTCCCCACAGAGCAGGGAGCCCGATGTGGGACTCAATCCCAGGACTCCGGGACCACGACCCGAGCTGAAGGCAGACGCTTAATCAACTGAGTCACCCAGGCGCCCAGATTTTATTTATTTATTTGAGAGAGAGAATGAGAGACAGAGAGCACAAGAGGGAGGAAGGTCAGAGGGAGAAGCAGACTCCCCGCTGAGCAGGGACCCTGATGCAGGACTTGATCCCGGGACTCCAGGATCATGACCTGAGCCAAAGGTAGTCGCTTAACCAACTGAGCCACCCAGGCGCACTTAGAAGAGATTCTTAGCAAATATAACCTTCATGTCATTATATTTAAAATATGAGCAATTCTGTTTGAGAGCTGTTAAAGACCTTTATTCATATTATAATAAAGGTTACTACATTAAACAAGAGCATGAGAAGTAATGTACTTAGGCCTTGGACCCAGCCTTAGGTTTAAATGCTAATTTTGCTATTTGTGAGCTACATGGCTTTGGGCAGGGTAACCTCTCTCTTCATCTCACTAAGCCTAGTTTCCTCAACTGTTAAATGGTGAAAACACTACTTCTAACAGGATTGTTGTGAGTTAGAAATGAAGCAATGAATGCAAAGTAATTAGGATACTGCTTTACAGAACATTCTAGTAATGTTACTCATTGTTTTTTTTATTTGGAGGTTTAAGGAAATACATAGGCAACTAATTTAAGATTCTACCTTTTCAGGATAGGTGTTATTTTAAAGTGACTTGCATTCAATTTTAAGCCTTTGATATTTAGGGCCTACAGAACAGTCTTAGTATTGGTTTCGTTCAAAGGCACATTTTATACTTTTCTCAAAAGCAGTCTTGATTTGTTTTAAAACATGATATCATTGGGGCGCCTGGGTGGCTCAGTTGGTTAAGCGACTGCCTTCGGCTCAGGTCATGATCCTGGAGTCCTGGGATCGAGTCCCGCATCGGGCTCCCTGCTTGGCAGGGAGTCTGCTTCTCCCTCTGACCCTCCTCCCTCTCATGCTCTCTGTCTCTCATTCTCTCTGTCTCAAATAAATAAATAAAATCTTTAAAAAAAAACAAAACAAAAACATGATACCATTGAAAGGAATAATTATTTAACCTTTAATCAAACCTTGGATGTCTTTATGTGTGTTGGTATGAAAACTTTGAGATACCCTAAGAGGTAAGACATTAATTTATAAATCTCTCCTTGTAGCTTAAAAGTAAAAAGCAAATCTTCGTCCCCTTTTTAGTACCAATTTATTTAGGGTAGTAGGAAGTTTGGGTATCTATGAACATAAAAGTGGTATCAACATTATTGCTTATACTCTTCTTTCTTCTCTCTGGTTAATCCACTTAATCTTTATTCTCACTGTTTGACCCAGCCAGAATATACAGTATTGAACAAAATTTGTCTCTGCAGCTAAAGTTCTTTCATAGCAATGTGTTTTATTTATAGTGGAAGTTGGGGATAAATTGCTCAGCATATTCAATTCATTTTACAGACTTCCTGGAACATACTGCTTACCTATTTTTAGTATTTACTTTTTAATACTTAAACTGTATATTATTTTCATCCAGATTTCCCTAATCTACAAAATGGGCAATTCTGTTTATGTTTTAAGTTATTTTTTGACAGCTTTGAGATAAAATTTACATGCCATAGAATTCATCCATTTTAAGTGTACAATTCAGTGATTTTTTTTTTAGGAGATTTGTGGAATTATCACTACAATTTGATTTTACACTTTCATCCATGAAGAAAGAATCCTCATGCCCATTACCAGTAATTCCCCAAACCTACTCCAGCCCTAGGCAACCACTAATTTACTTTCTGTCTCTATGAATTTACCAACTTTGGATATTTCATATAAATGGAATCATGTAATATATGACCTTTTGTGTTTGGCTTCTTTCACTTAGTATGTTTTTAAGGTTCATTTATGTTATACCATGTATCATTATTTCATTCATTTTTCTTGCCAATTATCCATTATATGGATGTACCACATTTTGTTTATCCATTCAGAATAGATGTGTGTTTCCATGTCTTGAGTGTTATGAATAGTACTGCTGTGAACATTTATGTGTTTTTGTGGGGATGTATTTATTTATTTAAAAAATTATTAACATTTATGAAATAATGGTTCTCTGCTATTTGTGTTTTTATTTATTATTATTATTTTTTTATTAAAAGATTTTATTTATTTATTTGACAGAGTGAGACACAGCGAGAAAGGGAACACAAGCAGGGGGAGTGGGAGAGGGAGAGGGAGAAGCAGGCTTCCCACCGATCAGGGAGCCCGATGCAGGGCTCGATCCCAGGACCCTGGGATCACGACCTGAGCCAAAGGCAGACGCTTAACCGACTGAGCCACCCAGGCATCCCTTTATTTATTTATTTTTTTAAAATTTATTTATTTGAGAGAGAGAGATTTTTATTTAATCTTAAATAAATAAATTTAAGATTTATTTATTTGAGAGCAGCAGGGAGGGGCAGAGGGAGAGGGAGAAACAGACTTCCTGCTGAGCAGGGAACCTGATGTGGGGCTCGAACCCAGGACTCTGGGATCATTACTGGAGCCGAAGGCAGACACTTAACCAACTGAGCCATCCAAGTGCCCCTATTTGTGTGTTTTTAATTTAGATTTTATTTTGTGATAATATAGTGGAGAGAAGCACTGTGCAGGGTTTTAGGGTTTCATGAAATCG